ATTAATAAATGGAATCAATGGAGTCGGACAAAAACTGGACAGATTATTACGGTGAGAATGGCAATTTCCACATATACAACCAGATATGTTAACTTTTCACAGAGCTCTGTAACCAAAACCAGCTATTCGTTCAATGAAACCCTGTGAACTTCCTCTGACCACCAATAAATGTTTCATTGTTGATGCTCAATCTTGATCTGTCCCCATAAATTAAATATGCTCCTGGGTACTCCTTTTAGTTAATTTTATCTAGAGCATTATGACATTTAGATGTCTTCATATAATATGAAGCAGATTTTTGAGTCATAAGTACTAAGACTGATTTAATGGCAATCTTTTCTAAGATAGCTGAACTTACTGCATTTTCTTTAATAGAATGAATGGCAGCTAAGAACATTGCAATAAATCTGAGAAGCTAAAAATAGCAATCCTTTGATGGAAATGTTTTTATTAGTATTTACCAGCATATGTACTTTACGATCATTTTCTTACAGTGCATGTATGAATGCAATATAAAAAAATTGTAAAATCTTAACTACAAAGGAAGACAGCAGATTTAGGGAATGGTAATGGGATATGAAACTTTTTACCTCTAGATCACTGGTTTGAATCCAGCCAGGTCCACAGAGACAGAGTTGTTAATGTCTAATGGCTATTTGGTGCCCTGTATGAAATGAAATAGTAGTCTTATTCCAGTTTCAAGTGAACAGGTTTGATGCCTTCACTTACATCTTCAGGGACTGAAATAATCTTGCCTAAGGTGGCCCTGGCAAGTCAGAGTTAAGACACGTTGGTTGACCAGTGTATGGCCAGTAACAACATGGATCACCATGTTATACCTCTCCTGTGGATAAATGAAGGACTTCATTTCCTAGAGTTGTCAGTCTGATACTTTTACATCAGCACTAAATTTACTGTTGAATGTCCAGCCCTGCAAACGCCCCACTTGTGGAGCTCTCATTGAAATCAACCCGGCTTCATCATCCTTTCTTGATAAAGAAGGTTTTATGATAAACGGTAAGAAGAAAGGGTTACTAACCTGTTCCTTAACTGTTGTTCTGAGATGTGTTGCACATGTTCATTCCACTCCAGGTGTGTGCACCCTAGTGCACAACTGTCAAAGATTTTTTCCCTCAGCGGTACCTGTCAGGGTGGCACATGCACCTCTGCTGCTTTGAGCTACTGCAGATGGTATAAAGGGCGGAGCCACCCAGACCCCTCCCCCTCAGTTCCTTCTTACCAGATAGACTCCGATAGACAGGGGGAAAGATGGTGGGTTGTGGAATGGACATGTGTAACACATCTTGAAGAACAGTTACTGAACAGGTTAATAACCATTCTTCTTTGAGTGATTGCACATGTCCATTCCACTTAAGGTGACTCACAAGCAGTTCGGTCTGGAGGTGGGATCGCAGTCTACCTAAATAGATATTGAAGGACCACATGTCCAAACCTGGCACCATGTCTAGATTGTTGAGAAATGGCACAATGCGAGGCAAAAGTATGCACTGATGACCAGCTTGCTGCTTTGCAAATGTCCAGAAAATGCAATTGGGCCTGAAAGGCTTCAGAGGCTGCATATGATCTAGTTGAATGCACCAACACTTTTCTTGGGGTTGTCACATTAGCCAGCTTGTAGTACAAATGAATATGAGAGGAGATCCACAAGGAAATCCTTTGAGAGAAGACTGGAAGGGCCTTCAGTCTGTTTGCAATTGCCACGAATAGCTGTGACAATGATGTAAACAACTTAGTGTGGTCCAGGTAAAATGCTAAAGCTCTTCTAATGTCCAAGGTGTGAGCTTTTTCTTCATCTTTATGATTATGAAGCTTCGGGTAGAAAATTGGTAAATAAATTGCCCAATTAAAGTGGAAGTTGGACACCACTTTAGTGAGGAACTTTGGATGAGGGCAGAGGTAAATCTTGTCCTTATAAAAGATAACATAAGGAGGTTCTGAAACCAGAGCTCATAACTCACCCACTCTCCTGGTTGAGGTGATTGCAGTCAAAAAGGCTACCTTCATGGAAAGATGAAGTAAGGAACAGGTAGCCATTGATTCAAAGGTGGAACCCATTAACTTTGCTAACACTAGGATTAAGTCCCAAGGGAGAATAGGAGCTCTACTTGGGAAAATAACCTATCCAAACCCTTTTGAAATCTGATTGCCATAAGCTTGGAAAAAAGGGAGCAGTTATCAGTTGGTGGGTGGAAAGCCGAGATAGCTGCCAGATGGATTTTGATGGAACTAATAGCAAGATCTTATTGTTTCAGGTATACGAGCTAGTCCAATACCTGATAGATGGAAGCTGGGAGTGGGGAAACACCTTTCTGCTGGGACCAGATGGAGAATTTCTTCCATTTTGCCAGGTAAGTATACCTAATAGAAGGGTTTCTAACATTTAAAAGCACATCTTGAACCTCCTTTGAGCAAATTTTCTCCAGATGAGCCAGCCACGGCACATCCAAGGTGTCATGTGTAGGGTCTGTATGGTGGGGTGAAGGAGATGCCCATTGTCCTGAGAGATCAGGTCTGAATCTGGTGGAAGTATCAGAGGATCTTTGTCCAAAAGTCAAAAACTAATGTTGTCGAGGTCACACTGTGGAGCTACAAGTATGACTTGAGCCTGGTGCTGTTTGATTTTGAACAACATTCAGGTAGGAGTGGAACTGGAGGAAATGTGTACAGGAGTTTGTCTGTCCAGGGCAATGGGAAATTGTCCATGAAAGACCTTGAGCTGTGACCTGCTCAAGAACAAAACCAATGACATTTCCTGTTTACTTTTGTTGCAAACATATCTATGTGGGGCTGCCTTGGCAGTGGTGACAGTCTTCATGAGAAAGATAGGAGTTCATGTGTTTCCTTACCTGATGACTGGTTGGTGAGGTGCCAGTTCAAGGCTCAGGTACTGTCCAGTTTGATGGTCATCCAATCCCCCGTCGATGCACTAGGGTTGCTCATCAACAGAGAGAAGTCAATCCTGTCACCTGTACAAAGGATAAAGTGTAGGTGGTCTTGAACTCTATGGACACTAGGTCCCTGCTTCTACAGCTAAGATTCCAGACAATACTAACACTGCTTTGGACCTGAAGGCCCATCCTACCAGGACAGTTCAAAATTGCCTCTGCTTCTAGGACATGTGGCCTCATGCACTTACATAGTTCAGCATGCCAGGCTCCATCTCAGGAAACTACAATGGTGGTTAGCATTGGGGTACTCACTGATCCATAATCCCCTAAACATGTAAGTTTGGCTGTCCACACAAGTCTTGACCTCTCTAGACTGGCAGAAAGACCCTTCAAATGTTTGTGGGGGAGTTCTGTTTCCTCCTCCTCAACCAGCTTTCCCCTTAGTTACAGATGTTTCTATCCTCGTTGGGGAGCTTACCTTGGATCCCTGCAGACTCAAGGTTTGTGGTCTGCCCATGATTTGACTCTACATATAAATGTCAGAAAAATGGGGGACATCCATCTAGCTTGTCTGGCCTTCCTTCCCCTTATCAAGGGGTAAGATCTGCTAGTACTAACAGACAATACAGCAGCCATGTCCTATGTGAACAGGCAAGGAGGGACCTGGTTGACTCTTCTATGCCAGGAGGTGATGAGGCTGTGGGATTTCTGTATTGCTATTTCTGTCCACCTCAAAGCCTCTCATCTTCCCAGAGTACACAATACTCTGGCAGACTGGTGAAGCAGGTCATTCATGAGGCACTGAGAGCTCTCTTTTCCCAGTCATAGCTAGATCTGGAATATACGAGGGGCTGCAGACAGTCCAAATGGTAATAATATAAACTGTAGTGGGATTTGTCGACCACAAACCTGAAGAATTTCCTGTGGCTCTGATGTATTGCCACATGGAAATGCACATCTTCTAAGTTGAGGGGAGCATACCAAACCTTAAGGTCCATGGAGGGGATAATAGAAGCCAGAGTGACCATCTGGAAGTTTATTTCCTTCAGGAATTTGTTGACCTTTCTTAGGTCTCAAATAGGCCTGAGACCCCCTCTTGCTTTCAAGATTAGGAAGTAGTGAGAGTAAAATCCCTTCTCTCTGAGAAACAGGAACTTCCTCTATGGCTTCCACTTGGAGGAAAGACTTACCTCCTACAGGAGAATGTTCCTGGGTAGTGATGTACAACCAAGCACTCGGATAAAGAGATAGTTGGCAACAAGCATGGTAGGAGTGGCTGGCACTCTGGATACTGGTAGGTTGTCCTCAACCAACACATCAGAATGCTTGCTTGGAACTCCCAGGCTGCCTGGATAAACTGGTAGCTGCAGCAGAAGAAGGAGGGAGTGGTCTTCTCCTGTAACTTCTGCCTTTTTTCTGATTATGTCCTGGATGCAAGGCATGAAAGTAGGATACTGGTGAGGCTGCTGAGGACAAAACTGCTTCCTCTTCAGAAAAAGATGCCCAAAATTTGAGCATTACCCTCAATTGCTTAAGATTTGCTGCTTCTCATTGGTGTGCACAGAAAAAAGTGATGGACCCTCAAGGGCAGGTCCTGTATGGTCTGTTGGACTTCTTGAGGGAGACCGGATGACTGAAGCCAGGAACATCTACACATCATAATGACCAATGCTTTGGCCCAAGCTGCCGAGCCTGCAGTGTCCAAACTGGCCACATGGTTGGGTCGATAGGTGCCGAGCAAGGGATATTGCTGTATGTGATGTGGCCATGAGATGTAAGAGCAAACCTCTGACTCCAACAAGGAATCCACTTCATCTCACTGGGGTGGGGGTGGAGTGGGGGGGACTATTCCCATCATTGCTATCCGAGGGTGGTACCAGTGAGATCACGACCTACTTTCCTCTAGATGTCACCACTTGGAGAGGTACTTAAGAGGCTGGAGGTGCCCCGAGAACCAGAGTATGGGTTGGCACAAGCAAAATAGGTGCTGGTACAGGGTGCAAAGACTCCTGGCACCAAGAGATTTAGCAGTTCCCATGCCACTGTGAAAGCCTTCGTAGACAGTTCCAGAATAATCCTTGCTGTTGAGACATGAAGGGCTGTACTGTTGAAGTAGACGCCACTTCAGGGGCCAGTCTCAATGGGACCGTGGCTGGTGCTGGAGTCAATGGACCCCCTTGGACTGATGACTGCCTCAAAGAGGTCCTCTGCTTCAAATGCACCCCACTGCCCTTGTGCTTACTGGGCTTCAGTGCTGAGGATCTCAACCTCTCAGATGCTGAGTCTTTAGATACTTTCTGGTGCCTCTTCCTCAATACCAGTGAGGGGGATTGGCCTGAAGGCTCAGTCAAAGCAGGAGGAGCACTTGTAATGGACACAGATTCACTCGGTGCCCACTCCAAGCAGAGAGGCTCCAAAGTTGGGTGCAGTGCTGCCACCATCAGCAGAAACCTAAGCCTCACTCATAGTGACTCATGAATGATCTGCTTCACCAGTCTGCCAGAGTATTGTGAACTCCAGGAAGGTGAGAGGCTTTGAAGTGGATAGAAATAGCGATGCAGAAATCCAACAGCCTTATCACCTCCTAGCATAGCAGAGTCAACCAGACCCCTCCTTGCCTGTCTTTCTGGGTTCTAGACTTAAAGTTTCTGCAAATTTGACACTGATCCCTGACATGAGTCTCCCCAAGACACTTCAGGTGGTGTGGGTCACTCACTGGCATTGGCTTCTTGCACAAGTGGTACAGTTGAAACTCTGGTGACTGAGGCATTCCCCAGCACCAATGTCAGTACCCAGGAATGGGAACTAAAGTGTCTGAAAACTCTTAAAAAGAAAATGTATAACTAACCAACACTAAAAACTACTAAAATGGGTGCAAACTATATACAAATAGAAGGAAAATCTTGCACTAGCAAGAACATATGCTCCAACAACTGTTGTGGGTGGTCAGAAGGAACTTACCATTATGGACGACTCCATCCTTCATACCATGGTGCAGCAGCATGAGGCAACAGAGGGCACATGTGCCGTCCCAATAGGTAACACTGAGGAAAAAGTCTCTGATTGATGGCACACATCTGATTGATGTGCAATCACTCAAAGAAGAAATACCTATTTGACAACAATGATGCTAGGTTGTTGTCATGAACTCAGTCAAGGAGAAGGAAGACTCATATTTGGAAAATATCAATGATTCAGTAGATAAGTTAATAGAGAATGCTATTATTCCTGATTATGATTGCGTGATTAAATCCTAAAAGAAAAGAAAATGAACTTTCTAGATTTTGTTGCATTAATAAGAATTTAGGAGCTAAGTCTTTATAATATTTAGTGTATTATATGCTAGCATGAAGCATTGTAATAGATATGATAATAGATTTAATGTAGTATTGGCTTAATTGACCTTTTTTTTTGTAGTTCAAGTTGTCCTGAGGACTTAATATTTTACCACTATGGTCAATATTTTTAAGAGTGACTTGTGATTTTGGGTGTTCAACTTGACACCCCTTAAAAAGACCCAACTTTTTCAGAGAGTACTGAGCACTCACTTTTTGAAATCAGGTCCCTTTAATGTATCTCAAGTTTAGGACCCAAAAATAGAAACACTCAACATTATGAATCACTTTTTGAAAATCATGGCCTAAATTTATATTCTTTCATTTATATCTTCAAAAAAATGGACTGATTAAATTACAAGCTTTTAGGACTACAGGAAGGATTAAAAGATAAACATACTGGAATAAAAGTTCAAAAAATTCTGGAATATTTAAAGGAAGATTTATGAAAAAGCTAGATAGCTCAGAAAAGAGAGATCTTATATGCAGTTTAATATTTATTATGTTGACATACAATGTCTAACATTAAGAATAGTCAATGGTAGTCAGAATTTAAAGACACCCACAAAGGAAAATCATTCAAAACTTGTCACTAAAGAATCATGGGTCAGCTTTTTAAATGTGCTGAGTACTCACAACTCTAACTGAAGCCATGTGAGTTGCTAGTCATCGGTATTAGTGGCTGATCAACAACTTTCTATCAAAAAAAATTTCTATGGAAAATTAGATTTTTGACTTAAAGGAAATTTCCACAGAAAGTTTTTGATTTTTTTGTTGGAAACTCACACCCAGAAAATTTTTAGCTAAAAATTTTAGATTTTTTGGCTAGAAATGTTTTGCTTTTTAGTTGCTGAAATAAACAAATCAGTTTTTCAATGAAAAGGTTAAATTTTTTGCTAAAACAATTTCCAACCACTTCTAGTCAGTATCTCTGTAAGATCAGGCTTCAGGACTTTCACCCCCTCATTTAAATATTTATTTTCTTACTGAGGTATTTTTAAATTTTCTTCCTATTGACTTTTATTTTAGTTGATATCTTTCTTATTTATGAAAAAATAAACGTAAAAAAAACAAATCACCAGAAAACACTTGGTTTTGATCAATACTATAAATCTGCCCAGATTTGCTTGGGTCCAGATACACTGAAAATTAGTAACCATAGGTACCTGCTAGTGAAGGATAGGGAACAGTGTCTCCAAGGTTTAGGAATGCACGACTTTGTCACAGAGTTTAAGGCCAGAAGGCCCTATCAGATCAGTCTGACCTCCTATATATCCAGCCACCTCAACACAAAGCCCAAGAACCAGAATTAGATCAAGGTATTATGACCCTCAGGAGACTAAACTATTGTATGACACAGGCAGAGAACAGGAGGCACTGAGGTGCACCAATGCCCAATGACCCTGTAATGGCAGATACTTAATTTAGAGAGATATACCCTGATTATCCTGGCACCTATGTCCCATGCTTCAGAGGAAAGAGAATCAGAACTTCTGATATTATGCTAAAAGCACAAAATGTAGATTATCTGTGCTCCTGAACAACCCATAGTAAGCATATCAGTGTGGATGCACCTCAAGTAGACTTACACATACTCCACACTTTATCAGGGAGTCTAACCCTGTGCTCAGCCAAAAGACAAGAGCCTTCACTGAAGATGCCAGAAGGTGTGTGCATTTGTGAATGAACAGCAACATGAAAAACAGCTTCAACAGATTTCAAGGCCAGGATACCTACTGTCTCTTTTTTAAATGTTAACAAAATATCACTGAACGTGAGTGGTGCACGAATGTAGGGAATGGAGGGGAGATGTGGAGACAATCTGAGCAACAATATTCCACTAAAAATAATGCCTGCACTGCTTGTGCCCACCAGTCTGCTCGGCAACAGAGATGGGGTTGGGAACAATATGAGGAGCCACTGAAGGTGTACTCATTTAGTTAGGAGGAAAAACTAGGAAGGGCAGAGTGACAGAAACCCAGGCATGTGAAGGTCTCTACAAAGAGGGTGGTCCATATGTAAAAAATAGGTGCCAAGGAGAATGCCTATGCAGAAGTGACCCGTAAACATGGTATTTTCTCAGGGAAAGGCATCTTTTTTATATATCTTATTGTTATACTATTGGAAGAACATCTGTAGCTTAATTCCACGCCTTTTTGTCTCAGATAAAGATGCCACACCAGTCACCATGGGGACTGACATCCTCTCTACACAGCATTGGTACAAAGGTAGCAGCAATGCTACAAGCTACCACCTTGATCCACTTAACATGCCTCAACTCTGGCTGAAGGGATTACTTCTAGCGGGTACTAAACAATGTTATAATGGAATAGCCCAGTATGGAAACTAACATGTCAGCTCAAATGAAAGTAGGATATCCGGAGCTGAGATGAAATTTCCCCATCCCTCAAGAGGAAACAAATACTATCACTTCTGCGGAAGAAAAGTTTCTCGCCATCTTGCTTGAAAAGTCAATCAAGGAAAAGATTAATAAGACAGTGAGTTATGAGAGAAAAAGAAGAGCTAATCTGAAGATTTGAGATCTGTACTGTTCACTCATACTTTAGCATCTCTCTCCCTACTCCCCCCTCCCCATTCCAGTTCACCCCACCTCTTATTCCCACTTGGGGTATTGGTCCCAAAGTTACTCTTCTCCTTATCAGATCCTATCACAATTTACGCACTACCGATCTGAATTTCTTTTGGACGTGATACCAAATTTGTACAGTAAATAGAGTTAAATGTGTTTGAACTGTTGCAAAACATCCATTAAACTGCCCTTGGAAAAATGATAATGAACTGGAGGAGTTTTTTGTTTTCTTTTTTTTTCCCCTCCTTCTTTTATAAGTCTGCATTTAGGTGTGTTGAGCCTGATAAGGTGGAAGATCCTGTTTGGCGGTTACTCCACTTTGCCAGCTGTTGCAATTTCTGAAGACCATGGGAATGAGGGAGGGCTTTGCCATTCTATATATAAAGCATCCAAGCTTGAAAAGGCAAGCTTTGAAGGTGGCAGCAGCAGCACTGCCCCTTTTGAGCAGGTAGGGGCGGAGAGCCCTGAAAAAAGAAACTCTTCACTCAAGGCAAACACCATGCTTTTGGCACTACTACTAATAATTTCCTGCAGTTTTCTACACTGCACAGGTAAGTCTGAGATCTCTAGCTAGACATGATATTTCTTTGGATGGATGTTTGACTAAGTGTTATTCAAAGAGAAATAGGTATATAGTGAAACAAGGGGAAATTGCAGTGTGTGATGTTAGAATTATTCCATTATTATACTAACAGTACATGGGATGCAGACCTTTTCCCCCATCCTCAGTGGAATTACAATCATTTCCATTTATGTTTTTCCCATCAGAAGTTTAAAATATGCAACTGCATATTTCACAAACACATGACTGAAAATACGACCCAGTAGAACAATTTTAAATTATTTTTTCCCTCCCTACTCTCTCTATTTGGAATTTCTGGTTACTGAGACTCTTGGTGGATCATTCACTGCATGGTACATAGTAAGTGAATTATGTCACATCCCTCATGGTAAATTGTATATTGTGTTTGCAAACACAAAGGGTCTCCACCCTGCAGTAGCTCCACATGCAGCGCTCACATTGATGCTAGTGGGAGACCTACATATGTACCCTCTGTAGAATTGCGCCTGTTAAGAACGGTGCACAAGGTCTTAAATATGTGTCAGAGAAAGGGCATAATTTTTCTTGATTAACCCCATTCTTTAAAAGAGGACTTCCATGCTTGAAATGTGGGAAATCGTTCAAATCTATAAAATGTTCAAATGAAATCTCTCAATGTGTTTTTCTAGCTCTTTATATAAAACTAATCGATTTATGTTTCATTAAGGGATTTGGCCTCCCACCCCTTTCTGGCCCAACCTTTTTGGATGTCATAGATTATTTATTTATTTGTTTTTAGGTTGAGAAGCAAATATGTTGAATCTGTAATGTGCCTCTTTTTCCCGCAAGTGCTTGCACTGGATTATTTGAGGGCTGTCTTTACTTTGTGATTAATTTGTGTGTTGTTTTAGACTGTGGTTTCCTTTTCTTCTATTTGTTCTATGTCTGCTCCATAATTATCAGCTATTACAATTGCTCTGAAGGCTGCCAAAAATGTTTCAAGCACATGGTCCAAGCTGTTAAAATGCATAATTTATTTAGTTTAGTTTGAACAAAGCTATATTTATTTCTTCTGTATTGTGTTTACCACACTTAATGGCCCATATAATACTAATCCAGTAACAGTACATATTATTCTTAAATCAGAGATTTGTACTGTAACTGGAGAAAGAAAAATATGAACAATTAAAGCCTTATGTAAACTCCACGGGCCATTTTTTAATCTCAATTATACAGGTATAAATTCCACAATATCTCTATTGACTTCATTAACACCATTGTAACCAAGATCAGAATATGGCCCCTGAATCCTAAAACTAATTCAGGTGCCATATTCCAAGTTACTTATCAACATGGTATCAAGTATTAGATTTGAGTTCTGTAATAAGACATCATCAAAGAGGCTTCAAGTGCAGTTTTAATAAAAGTAAAGGTGTCTACAAAATTACATAGTGGGGTTCCATATTTGCTCAGTGTCACTGACATGCAGATCAAATGCGTCCAATTTTGAAGTCAAAAGATTATTTATCTAATTGACATCCCTGCATAATCAACCTAGAATGTGAAAAAATCAAACCGTGGTTTTTCTCACCTAACCACCAGTAATAAAGATTCTGTAATCAGAACCTAAGTGATAGCTTAGGGATGGTACAGAGCCCTTATCACTGTCATTGTTTTAAGATGAGCCCAGATAGATAGTAGCCAAACGCTACTATCATTGCTATTTGGTTAGCTTAGGTGGTAGTTTCAATGTAGTTCCTAGTGGTCAAGTCCTACAGTTGATATCCTTGTTGATAGTCACTGCAGAAGGACCAAGGAATGAATAAATATGGAGGCTGAACTTTCTTACCTCTAAAGATAAACCCTCCTGGTCAAAGTTTGAGGCACACTGATGGGACAGTGCAGTCGTATGTCTAATATAGAAAACTACAGGACTTAAGTCACTTGCTAGGATCATCTGGGTATATCTCATTTAATCAATTCCCTGCCACTGTAGGGGCCTCAGGCTTTGATGCACCTCAGTCCTTCCTGTTCTCTGTCCATGGCATACAATTGTTTAGTTTCCTTTGGGCTGTAATACTTTGGTCTAATTGTGGTTGTTGGGCTTGGCATTGGGGAGGCTGGATGCTGTTTGGTGGTCTATGATATACAGGAGTTCTGACTAGATGAGCTAGTGGCCCATTCTGGCCTGCAACTCTATGATTCTATGTCTATGGCTCCAGGCCTATCAAATGTAGCACCTTTCATGAATACTAAATGCACATTTTTAAAAAGAGACATTAAGTGGTAAGTCCACTAAGGAAGTATGAAGCAAAATAGAGCCTAGGTTGTTCTTCCATAGCTCCAATGGCTCTGCAGTGCTAAGAGGAGTAAATCTTATTTTGCCTGTGAAGCACACGGCTAGACTCAGACACACAGGGAACAGAAATGTTGAGTAAGATGTTGAGTGTCATTTTTGCATATTTTGCCTGTAATCACATGTTATGTTTAAATGTTAACCCACACATTCACAGTAAATTGAGAATTTACTGTTGAACCCTGCTCCTCCACAGATTTCCTGTGTGACCTTGGGCAAGTCACTTAGCCTCCCTGGGTATGTCTACCCTGCAATTGGGAGGTGCCATTGTAGCATGTATAGGCATACCAGAGCTAGCTCTGATCAAGCTAGCTTGCTAAAAATAGCAGCAATGCCATGGCAGCACAGACAATGGCATGAGCTAGCCACCCAGGTACAAGCCCACCACAGAGCATGGGTACATACTTAGGCAGCTAGCCCACGCTACTGTCCATGCTGCCATGGCTTCACTGACATTTTGAGTGAGCTAGTTTGGGTGCTGCAATCACACACCCCCATTGTAGTACAGACATATATTTGGGCCTCAGGGCTTGTCTACATAAACATTTAGTTCGCAGCAAGCTGGGTGTGAACATACCCCACACTAGCCTGCCGCGCTCAGTGACAGTAGGTCTGTGGCAAGCTAGTGTGGGGTAGATTCACACCCCAGCGTGCCACAAACTAAATGTTTGTGTAGATATATCCTCAGCTCTCCATCTGTAAAATGGGGATAGTAACACTGTCCTACCTCAGAGGTGTGTTGTAATGGTCTCAAGTTGCAGTGGGGGAGGTTTAGGTTGGATATTAGGAAAAACTTTTTCACTAGGAGGGCGGTGAAGCACTGGAATGGGTTACCTAGGGAGGTGGTGGAATCTCCTTCTTCAGAGGTTTTTAAGGTGAGGCTTGACAAAGCCCTGGCTGGGATGATTTAGTTGGGGATTAGGTCCTGCTTTGACTAGATGACCTCCTGAGGTCCCTTCCAACCCTGATATTCTATGATTCTATGATAAATACATTAAAGTTTGTGAGGCACTCAGCTACTACCATGATGTGAGCCATATAAGTACCTGATAAATAGATAGAATGTGTGCTGCACTACCAATACAATGATTAGCTATTCCCAGAATCATTCCCTGACAAGCAGACATGTTTTGGATGAAGGATTTAACATTACAATTATACATTTTAGACATAATATTCACATTGTTCATTTGGGATCATAAAAGTAAATGCTGAATTAGTTATTTCAAACAAGCCTTTAAAACATAATAATTTTAAGTGGACATGAATCTGCACCTAAACCTGTGATCTGAACGCCCCGATCTTTGGTTTGGAGTTTTCAGAGTTTTATAATCTGGATCCAAACTGCATGACTAGCCCTTATCTGTATAATGGACTAAACCAAACTCCCTAGATCCAATCTCCCTCCCCTGAACTCTGGGAGTTTCAAATCTATATCCAAATTTTGCATCTTATGCCCATCTCTAATTTTAAATTTAAATATTCATTGTTGCAGTGTGTATATGGTAAAAAAGCTCTCGGAAATCTTGAGACTTGCTTACTTGTTCTGGAGCCAACTCAAATAAGTGTACATTAGCTTAATACAGCAAACATGACTGATAATGCAAACTGGATTAAGATGGTTAGTTTTAACTATATCCTGATATAAGGGCTCCTACTTTACTGATATTTAATTGTGGCTTACTTAGTTTGACTGTCACAGTAGACTTAGCCAGCCTTGGATCCTAAAGAGATATTGTATATTTATACAGTACTTATGCATAGCTAGGTACTCCCATAGAGGTAATCATGCTATGCTGGCACCTAGTTGAGAAAGAGA